AAGATATTATTTCTTTATCCCTAATTAATTGAATTAACCAGAACTAGTTTTGCATTCATTCGTATCCAACTAAGTTATATATCATGATTTATACACCACAGTGGCATTAAATCACAGAACACAATAAGCTACAAACTAACCAGACAACCATACATAGTCTTACAGCAATATGCAAGTTCAATCAATGACTCTTAGCGTTAAAAATATCCAGGCTGCAAGCTTCGATTAAACTGGATGTTATTGCATTAGAAACTTTACTTTGAAAACAGATCAGGCTTTATACCCAACTGATAGTGAAAAGCATCGGGGTAGGTTCAATATTTAAACCTTATGAAAGATTTGAAAAGCACTGAAAAAATGTGGAATACTGTCATTTTGTTTTAGGAAAAAAAAATCACAACTGTTTTGATGCTTCTTACTCTGAGGGGACATCTTAGGTAACAGGTGAAGGTAATGGGATGAAGGGAAAAGTAATAAGAAGACATGATCTGACCTGCATTCCCTAAATCTGGACCAGTGGTAGATAGTTGAGTTCTCTCACCATGTCGAACCATGGTGCTAGAAAACAATGATGGAACCAATAGTGGCTTATTAAGTAAATTATGATTAAAACAAATACTTCAACAAGAAATGGATCTCAGTTGTGTGATCAATGCTGAAATACCTGGATGTGTGGGGGGCAGGGAGAGCTATCTGATATTTTATTTCAGGCATTCAGCTTAATCTATGATATAAGAGTGGATAATCTGTGGAATTTAACTTCCCCTATCTACTATAGTTAATTTCCTACCATTCTGAGGCAGAAAACATACGAACACCAGCATAAGTCTGAAATAGGCTTAAGAAAGCGTTTAAAAAGACACCTAGGGGGAAATGGCAGTTCTCCCAACTGTGTATAATTACCTGGCCTTTAAAAGGTTGCTGATCTGTGCAGTATAATGAATTTCTAGCTCTGCGTTCACAAAAGTGCAGCTATCACAATAACTCAAAAAATGTCAACATATTCAAATATAAGCCTGCAAAAGATTAGTCTTTGATTATGTATGGTAAGCAATCTAATTGCACTAAATGGAACTTCTCACAGGCATGCAATTAAACAAACTGGTAAACCAATACGTATGCTAAATTTATATATTCATTATATAGTATAGCAGAAAAGCTGGGAGATAGGTATCTAGCTCTTGAGATAATATTTCCAGATGCTTTTGTTCTGTATCTTTTAGGAATTTTTAAAATAGTTATGGAATTTGCTGTTGGTTTTGGTCCCTTGGGTAAACACAAAAGCAGGCAAATTTACAAAACAGGTTTGCATGCCAATGTGACTATGCGTTTACCTGATAGAAAAAACTTTTAATTAGCATGTTTGCAAATAAATTGATTATGCATGATTGAAGTTGCTGTATAAATATTCCTTTTAAAAAGATGCATAATAAGTTATTTAGCCATTACGCCTTTTGTCTGTTAGATTTCTGCTTTTGCATTGCCACTATCATATGTTATGGAACACAGGTGGCTTTCCTGGATTGGCTGCAATATATATGCATGACAAATCCACAATTGACATTTATCTGTGAAAACTGTTTCTTTTATTGTTGCAAACCAAGCCCATTTCATCTGTTCCTTTGGTTTGTTTGCTTATCCCATGTAATGGTTGTTTAAACTGTCTGAATACTAAAATAAATACAAATATACTTTGTTTATATTTATGTATTAAAATAATTCACTACATATTTCTCTTATTTTGTTTTATTGTAAAAATAGCATGTACTGCCTTGACGATGAATTCAAATTTTATTTTGAACTAAATACTGTTATGATGCAACAGTCTTTATTTTTTATTGTGGTAGGTTGGATTGTTGGTGGTGTGCATATGTGTGTGTGGGAGTTTGGCAATAGATTACCAAAAACTAAACTTTCACAAAGTGTTAAAAAAAAATAAAGACATATACATCTTTAACCTGCTCTCCTTTGCATTTGTAGAGCTGCCTTTGTTAACCTAGTCTTCTGCAAATGAAAGGCATATCAGATCCTACAATTCTGTTTAGTAAAAGGTTGCAGTTTGCTATCTTGCAAAGGCATCATATTGGGGAAGAACTATGTGGAAATCAGATTCTGAACTGCATTGAACTGATAGCATATGTGTAACTAAATCAACCACAGAAGTGGCAAACGAACCAACGTTAGCACTGACCCAACCTCAACCGCCCTTCCCATGTCTTTTTCTAAATCTGAGTTCCTTTTATAATATCCTAGAAATTGTGTAGGTAAATCAGGAGCAATCAGGAGCTAATTCAATTTATAGAAGAAGCTTTGGTTGTTAAATAAATGGTTAAACTAAAGATCATTTATTTCAGCAGATTCAGAGTTATCACAGCTGAATCAAACTGCAAGACTTATTCAGCAAACATACTTGAATTTATCCAATATAAACCACGTTTGCAGTAAGTTCATACAGCATGAAATGATATAAGTGTGGTAGGTCGTTCCTTTGTGATTAGGAGATATCTATAGTCATAAATGGTTATGCTTAATATGATCTGAGAAATCATGTGATGTAGCATATGTTGCACTACAAAGCATCCTTCATATAGACTATCTCGAAGTACAATAGATAGAATAAATCAGGGATCAGAAAGGAAAGACAATTAAAGTTTGAGGGACACATTTTGAAAGATGGAGCAGCTTGAAAAGATTAATATGCAGAACATGCCAAACAGATCTGCAAGCAGACAAAGAAAAGCCTTTCCTTGTTCTTTTTTAGAGTAAGAGGCTGAAGAAAAACCTAAATGCTTTGAGTTCTGGGACCAGAGAAATGGCACCAGCTGTACAGCCTTGAATTTCCTAGCTTGATGCTGGCTTTGCTGTATTACAACTTCTATCATTCTCAGCCAATGTAGCCCTTGGTTGTGTTGTGTGGGATAATGTCTTATAGTCCAAGTTCATCATGTCTGCATGGTAACAGGGAAAGAAGATTGTAATTGTCTCCTGCAATCACTGGTTTGCTGGAATCTATTTTTTTGTAAGTACCAAGTGCTACGCAAGACATATTAGTTAGAGATGAATTGGCATTGTTCCATTTCCAGAACAAGAGTTAGCAATGCAATAAGGGGAAGTTCTCAGAATCCATAAGCTGCTAGGCAATTTACTGTCCTCCAGAAATTTTGGACATCAGTTCCCATCAACACAGGCAAGAATGACCAATGAAAAAAGTTTCGGAGCTTTCTTAGCAACATTCTTGGTATATACACATAGAGTTGACAGATTAGATGACTAACATTAGGCAGAAGGATCCTTGTTTTTTTGTAATTGACTGAAAAGATTAGGCGCTCCTCAGGCATCTTCCTAAGGAAGCATACCACACATTTGCTCACTGTGGCTTTTCCAATAGCAAAGGCAAGCACACTAGCTTCAAGCATCACTTTAGGAGGGGTAATAAAAAATCAAGAAATAGAATAGTGCATTGCGGAGATCTTTCTTGGGAGCTTCTGCCTTCTAGGTTGATGATATGAGAATTTGGATCCCAAATGAATACTATGAATAGACAGACTGTGGAAGTTGCTATTTATCATCTCTATTGAGGGGACAGTGGAAAATCACGTTACTTATATAGGTTGGCATCTTCTACAACTGTCTCATACTGACACGAGACCTTCAGACATGGGTAAGTATTGGTTTGCACATCCAAATTCTCCATGTATTGGGGAAAAAAATCTGGAACTCAGTGCTTACCTGAGCTTGTTTCTTTTAGAATAAGTTTCCTCAAAGGTTTTGATGCTTATATTTATTTACAGATATAAACATGAGCATAGATCGAGGTGTACAACTAAATAATCCAACAAATTCTCCCAAATATTTCACAGCTCCAGTTAAACTAAGATCTCTGCCTTTCTGTCTCTGTATGTCTCAATTTTAGGCTATTTGCTTTTACAGGCTACTTCCTGAAGAAGCTTTTATCATGAGATGTCCTGTCTCAGATGTGAAATTTTAGAGTGTAGAACATTCCAATTTCTTGATACAGTAGCTGCTTAATTATAGTTGGATAAATTAGGTTGCACTGTAATCCATTTACATATTGATACAAGAGGGTACAGGCTTCCTAAAGGAGAGTTTAAGAGTTTGCATATACTCTTATTAGCAGAAACTGAACTGGTTACATAAAGGAAATGCCAGCTTCTCTTGCATTTAGCTTCCTTGCTCTGCCAGAACTGCAACAACATTCCAAACAAATAAAAAGTTTATGAGTTAACAAAAGCCAAAGACTTTTATTAGCAGCACCATTATAAACACAATAGCACTCTGAATACCACACTTGGCATCCTGTGAAGTGAAAAAGCTCCCCAATGCCTTATAATTGGGGAAACACAGATTGCACCCCATGTCTTAAAGACTCTTAAAGTTACAGTGAGATTTGCTGTTGCCAGTCTAGTCAAAGCAATCCGCCTCTCTTGTCATACAATCAGCTAACAAATTCAAGCCACGGTGATGATATTTAAGAACAGCTGTTACAGAGTTGTCCATAACGCTGGAAACAAAAATGATTGAAAATGCTATTTTATCTTCTTTCTCAGGCTAACCTATATGGTTCAAAATTACTCTGAGTGGGAAGCTTACTTTTGCAAACGATTTTTTTTATTATTATTTTTGATAGCATAATGTACAAAAAGGTTTGCTGAAATTCCACTCTCTACAGGCTGGCTGAACGTTGATTATTTCTTGAGGTCATATGTATGCACTGCAGAAGTCACGACTATCAAGTCACGACTTTTGGGGTCAGAAGTTTAGGAACTCATTTAGAACCTAAATGTATCTAGTTCATGAAAAAAAAAACTTATCTTCCATCAATTCTTTGCCCCTTAAGTAAATTGTATGCAATTTGCTCTATCACTAGAAGTATTGCCATGAAAGACAGTGATGAAGGCATGTAGTATATTAGCTTTTATTTTACAAAGGTCATCTTATATGAATTTATATGAGACAAGAAAGGAATATCGGTTACCACATACTTTTTCAGATATTTTATTGTACCTCACGAGTATGTTTGGACACACAAATTCAAGCCAATATTTGTTTGCTCCTATGTTGTGATTTTCATACATCAGGGAACTTGCAACATTACTATAGTATTACCATTTCAACATGCAGACTTTCTTCAACCCTTCTTCAATGTTTGGGGAATGGTGTTGCTGTGCCACTTTTTAAGTGAGGTACTGTAAGTTATTTTGTCCTTTCCCCAGTTCTTTCAGTTTCTTTCATATCAATACACATTCTGCACAATCTCATTTTCACCTCACACATCATGTACCTGTTATCTTTCAAGGGACACCTGCCAATATGCGTAGAAGGATCTGCATTAGAGGGAAAGTTTCCTGGGGTAATTAGGAAACAGCTGTCAAGGAAAAATACCTCCCCCTTATTTACCATTCAAATGGCCAGGCAATGGAATCAGCATATTTTCCTATTACTTGCTGCCCAGTCATTTGCAAAGGACCAATCATAGATAGGCATATGTGTTCTCTTCCCTGCTCGTGTTCCATCCAGCTCCCTGTATAAGGAATAGGCATGCATTAGGATAACATTTATAGAAGCTATATACAAGGCTGAGACATACCATTCTGAGTATACATGATCAAAAGACAGATCATGGTAATTTGCTGAAGGATAGGGAGGGAGATTGGCCCTTGTTATTTTTTCAAATACCTGTGGGATAATGGAAAGAGGATGGAGAAGTCTGTAGTCTACTGCAGTCTCTTTTGGACCAAGCATCATATAAATCTTCTCTGGAACTTATCTAGAGATCTAGAAGGATCAGAGAACATTGTGAGTCATCAGATCATTTATACTATATAATCAGCCTGCCCCCAAAACGTTGCATCAGGGGCTGATTAACCCTTAAAGAAGCTTTTTTTTAAAAAAAGTTTCCTATACTTTTTGCCTTGAAGCTAATTTTGCAGAGTGGCTTCATGAATTTATTTTTAAAAAGTGGATTTTTGTATTGCTTGCCATTGTAATTATGCACAAACCTTCTTTTCTTAATTTTTTCTGCCTTTTTATTATATTTTATTATGTCTGTTACTGCAGCTGTTTTTAAAAACTATATTGGTTGGTTTTAACTATCATTTATTTTATGTATTATTGTTTTTAGTGTTTTTGATTTCTGTCTTGGACTATATGAAGAAAGGCAGAATAAATAAGACCGGTACTAGGCTATCTTTCTCCGACAAGAAACAACACACTGGCCAAAAGGCATTTCTATACCCGTTAATTCATTTAGGCTATCCAAATGTAAAACTGTCAATTTTACTGGATTTGGGCTAAATTGTGGTCGTAACTTGAGGACTACCTGTAGCTACACACTTATCACTCTGAAAATATTTTCCTGTGCAATAGCAATATTTATTTAAACTGTTCAAACTCTATATTAAAAGGCCCTTTCTTATGGCATACAAGTGTTTATTTATTACAATTTTATTTATTCTACAATTATAAAAACCTGGGCAGCATATCAGCTTTCCTAGGGAAACATCTTCTCACCTCTGTACAAGCCAGGTTTTATATGGTACTTAGTTTTCAGTGATGGTATTAATTCAGTATTTTGTCTTCTAACTCAGAGGCTCAATTTAGGGACACTTCTATAATTTCTAGACTGAAAATAGTCCTTCCCCCAACCTTGAATTCTGAAGATTTCCCAGTTATCATTGAAACTGAAAGCAGTAGAAGACTAGGCCTCCTAAATTTCTTAAAACCCCAGATCCTAATACCGGTAGCTGTTTGTCTATTTGAACACTGACCTGTTTATTAGACTCCATGTGATTATTAAAAATCTGTGAGCACTTGAAACAATTGGGGTACTTACTCCATGTTTATCTATTAGTCTTGTGTAGACATTTTTCTTTTCCATCTGAAGACTGATGGCAGTGTTTAGATATCTGTAATGGCTAAAACTGGCAAGGCAGAAAGCTTTGATTCTCAGCCCAGGCAAGCCTGTGTAAATATGGAATATTTACAAAATTCAAAAGGAATTCAAAATTCAAGGAAGAGAAAAGAATGTCGAAAAATCTGATACCTCAAAAAGGATTTAAACCTTGGCCTATATGTAAAACTTAAATCTTATGTTCTGTAGTACGCAGTATAACTTATTTCTTGGCAAAAAGCCATTTATTTATCCATTGGAACATTGACACGTCTGCTCTTTGCTAGCTACAGAATATGAAGTAGAATTTCTAGAGAGCTAAGATTTATTGTCATGCTTTAGAAAGACATCTGATGCTGTTCTAAAATGGTTTTGCATCTGATAATTGCATTGTTTCTTTTCAATAATGGTTTTATCATTCAACTATTGTGATTAACGCATACAGTAAAAAAAAAAAAAAGGCCCTGATGCTGTCCTCGGGTAATTAAAAATGGGGAAGGACAAGCAAAAAGTGTAGAACAGACCAATTTCATCCTCAATATTAATTTCTGCACAGATATATTCATCTACAATGCATTCATCTGTGTTAAAGAGGTAGCAATAATAGGGTTATATAAGCCATGAAATGAAACTACATATAAATAGGTTCTTAGCCAAGGCTGTATGGAGGAGAAGATAATTATTTGGAAACTCCCAACTGTTGAGAGTTTTATTTTCTTGCTTTTTTGTATGGGCTTTCTCCTTTGAAATTTCCTAGACAAAATATTATGACAGTTGTCTATGAGAAAAGAGAAAAATATCTACTCTTAGTAGTAGTAAATTCTCAAATGCAATTACATATCTGCCCACCTTAAAGCTTATTTTATATGAGGTGCAGATAAAAAAAATGCTTCTGTGTGTTCATAGCTATGTCCTGGAAGCAAAGGGCATGATTTATCTTAAGCATCCAAAGCCATGACTAAAAATACTAATGAAACTAAGGACATATGCAAGTAGTCCTCAACTTACATCCATTCATTTAGTGATTGCTCAAAGTTACAGTGACACTGAGAAAAAGTGACTTACAACCCATTTTCACATTGCAGCATCCCCATGGTCATGTGATCAAAATTCAGATGCTTGGCAATTGACTCATATTTATGACTGCTGCAGTGTGCTGGTGTCATATGATCACCTTTTTTCAATCTTCTGACAAGCAAAGTCAATGGAGAAGCCAGATTCACTTAACAACTATGTTACTAACTTAACAACCAATGATTCATTTAACAATTGTGGCAAATGGGACAAAACTCAATTAACAAATGTCTTACTTAGACATTTACTTACTTAGCAACTGAAATTTTGGGTTCAATTGTGGTCGTAAATCAAGGACTACCTCTACTATTTTAGTAATTATATTTCCTACAGTTTGTACAAGTTGAGAGTTTCAGCATAATAATACTTGGCATTTATACGGTGTGTTTTCTAAGAGCTCCAGCTGCATTAACACATATATTACCCCAGAAATTCAAATTCAAATCTTTATTGTCAGTGCACAACATATGTACAATGAGATTGGTTGAGCTCCCTTGGTGCACAAATCCTTGGAACAAGCCCATAAGGCAGGATTATCTCCATAACAAAAATGGAATAGTTGAGTTTGATAATAGTTTGTCTGAAAGCCAGTTATTATAGCTTGTGTGGGATATCTGTGATTTTATTTCACTTTTTTTAAAAAAACTTACCTAACCGCAGCTGGGGACAATGCAAAATTGATCAGAGCTATAGCACTTGGGAAAGATGTATTTGAAAGAAGTTAAGCAGGTACATGTCTGGTTAGTATTTGGATAGGAAACTACCAGAAACTATTAGGACTGTAGGTTAGACTAAGAAAGCAAATATATTCTTGAAAAAACAATAGCAAAACATTTGCCAATTAAATTGGCATACTGTATGTCCAATGGACATTGTCCATGAAATTGCCAAGTTGAACTCAATTCAAACAGACTTTACTATTTCCTTTATCTAATCAAATTCTGTCTCCCTAGAGAAATTATAAGAGGTACAGAGGAAATATAGGTATCAATCATGAAAATAGAGAAAATATAGGTATCAGTCATCAGTGGACACAAAGAGATAAACCATATTTATACACCACTCAAAAGAGACAATAAAAAAGCTAAGAAGAAAACAAAAAGACCAGAACACATCCTCTGCAGCAACCAACATCCAGATAAACAGGGATTAACACAGAAAAGCAGAAAACAATACCCTAATCAAGGAACTAATAAAGAGAAAAGCACACCACTAAATTGGCAGGGCAAACTACTATATGTATATAGAGAGCAAAACCCCACACTCACTAGCACTGATGATATTACCTAGTCTGGTAATGAAATAACTGCAAGCAATCCACATTCAACCCAGAGCTCCATGTATTCTGTCCTATTGAAATATAAATAGCTTTCTTCCCCAAGATTTCATGGAAGAGAGATTTAGATAAGCAAAATTGTAGAGCAGAAAAAAAAACCCCAAACTCTTCCTATATTAATAAACCAAATCTTGAACTACAGGTGCTCTAACTTAAAAATGAAATATGAGATCCATCAATAACTTTTCTACACAGCCTGTACTTTGGTCCCAAGACCAGTGTGAAATATCAGCATTCAAAACCAAAAATGGGATTTCCAGCTCATAATAAGTTATAACAGCCTTCAAAAAGAAGAGCTGCTTTCTATTACAGAAACTGGTTCCCAAAAACGGGAAGTTGTAAACAAACAAAGAAACACACAGAATTCATGTCTCTGTGCTTTCAGGAATACTGATCTTCGAGAACTTAATAAAGAACTAATTAGAGATATAAAACTGAAAGTTCAAATTATGACCTCAGTGTTTAAGAATTCAGAAACTGGGAATTACATGGCCACAAAGATCTTAATTCAGAGAAGTAGAGTTGAGGGAAGGGTACTTAACTAGAAACTGTGTTTGAGGAAACAAAAGTATGTGGTTTAATAAACAAATAGTCCTTGATTATCCTGTCATGGCCTTTAATGAGCATGCCATGCATTTTTATTTTGAAGAAAAGTCACCTTAGATGCTTTGATATCAACAAGAAAAAAAATGCCATACTTGGGAGTGTTTGCAGAAAAACCACTTCTATTGGTACAGTTTGCCAATCATGCTCTAACCTGTCCACAATGCATCTTGACAACTCCCTATTTCATATCTATCACCTTCCTTTCTAGTATTGTTGGCTTTACTTCCCATTGCATGACAAAGATGTGTATCACTATATAAGGTATCACATTGTCCGTTATGCATTACTGATAAGGCATTTGACATACAGAATTAAAAGTGAGAGCCTATGGTTACTTATCTTCGATTCTCATTTATTCAGTTATCACCTGGATATGGTTTGCATAATATGTAAAGCAGATTATTCCTTTAGAAAGGCAGACCTGTGGCAATGGGATTAAAGTGAATCAGTTGTGAATGAAACATTCATGTAAGGGCCACTAAAATATTAGCTAGAACTGATTTAACGAGTCCTTGTATCCATGCTGTAAATCTCACAAAATAGCAGAAATTGAACTTTTCCATTTCATTGGGGTTGTTCCTCAAAAAAGAGCCTTTGTAGTACAGTGGTCTAAGGCACCCTGTTATTAAGCTGGTTATTAAGACCAGCTGCCTGCAATTACTGCAGGTTCGAATCTCGCCAAGGCTCAAGGTTGACTCAGCCTTCCATCCTTTCTAAGGTAGGTAAATTGAGGACCCAGTTGTGGGGGCAATAAGCTGACTTTGTATAAATATACAAAAGGATGAAGGCTATTGCTGAGCACATTGTAAGCCGCCCTGAGTCTCCGGAGAAGGGCGGCATATAAATCAAATTAAAAAAAAAAAAA